TCAGTCAGCTTGGATCCCAGACAAGGACACGAGAGTGCCTTCGCTACGTACTTCACATGCTAAATGCAGTTATGTGAGCAGAATATAAATATAAGGCCCTATACTGCTTTGGCCATTTTGCTATGGCAGCTACCTGTCTATGATCTAAGGCAGCACACATGCATACATGTAAATAGTAAGAGGTTAAAATGCAGTTTTAGAAGGTACTTATAGTAGCCACAATGATACAAATTTTCTCAGTAGAAATCTAACAGAATTTATAAAGTTTAATGGATACAATTGTTAAAGTTTATCGAAAGACATTAGAAACAGAGAACAATATAGAAGAACATGGAAAAAGTGACAGAGACAGAGGGAGAGGGGATTGGGAATGATGATGTCCACGTACGCATAGAGGAAGATTCAGTGATGCCAAGATGTCACTTCTCATCGAGTTACACTAAATATTAAGTACATATCCTATCATCAATGAGACAGCTCATGAAATTCGACAAGATTAGTTTAAATAGATATAGAATAAAAATAGCCAAAATAACAAGGATGAACCCAATGCAAGTAGGGTGGGATAATCCGTTTTTCTAAGTAACATATTTTTATTGTTGTTTTGGTTAAATATTAGGATCATGCTAACATGACAATTGTGCTGAGATAGATAAAGACCAAATGCACCAGAATGCAGAGCCCTGAAATAGGTCCATGCGTGTGTAGAAATATGATATATGATGAATCAGATGGAAAGGAAAGACCATTTGATAAATGGAAAGAATTTGTCATCCAAAATTAGATCTGATTTGAAGGGGAAATGCAAAGCTTTTTAAAACTCTCAAAAGGAATATTAAATAATATCTTTATGGGCTAAAAGTAGAGTGATTTTTTTTAAAACAAAACACATGGGACATGAACCTAAGAATAAATGACTGACTACACCAAAGTTATGAATCTTCATATTAAAATACATCACCAAAAAGTGAAAAGAAAAGCGACAAAATTCTACCAAACCAATACAAAGAACTAAATCTGATAAAAGAATGATCAAAACATATGAAGAAATACAGGTTGATAAGAACGAAAATATACTGCTGATAGAAGTATTAATTACAAAAAAAACTGAAGAAATAAGAGACAAAAACCCTAAATGGCTACATGTGAAGGATGCATAAATATATTTAGTATCATGAAAATCAACAGTGAAAATTAGTATGCACTTGAATATGGATGAATCTCAAACATAGTATGTTGAATTAAAAAGCAAGCCTTGGAAATCTCATTTTTATGTGTACAATTTATATCATTTCAAAACACTATACTCTTTTAGATGCATGTTAAAATTATAATAAGGATAAGTTACTACAAACCATGAAAATTATAAAAAGGGTGAGTTAATACAAACCATGAAAACCAGAATAACAATTGCTTCATAGACATTTCTGGGAATATAAATAGAAGTTTCTCAGCTCAATGTGGGAAGGAAAAGGTAAAAACAACCAGGAAAACGTTCCTGAGGACAATGAGTGGAGATGAGTTTTGAAAAAAAGTAAGATTGATGGGAATGAAAGATAGAGAGGAAGAAAAAGCAAGAGAAACAGCAAGGAAGTTAGAGGCATTTAGCCAAGTGCAGAGAGTAAACACAACTGAAATGAGCATTGCGCGTGTGCAGGGGGAGCAATGGGTAGACACATGAGATATGTACACACATAGGCATACAGTGTATAAATACAGACAAATGTCATAAATTAGACAGGTGAATGTTGTGTAGCATATTATTTACAAACAATAACAAAACATCTAATACTCTTAATTGTAAATTCCATATTGATTCTTAGAAAGTGATTTCACCAATTATTGACAAAGTCATATCTTTGACCAATTCAACCACGACTTGATGATTTAACTTACTTCCAAAATCAACTAGTTTTCTATGACAAAATTATTTTCTTTCTTTTCTTCTCAACAGCTTTATTGAGAAATAAATGATATACCAGGAACTTGACATACCTCTAAAGTTTCTGCATACCTTTGTTTTGTTTTAGTTTTACTTTTAGTTTCTATACGTGTGCGTAAAGAACACATTTAGTATGGAGCCTCTTGACAGAGTTTGGAGTCTATTATTACCTATACACACTTATTCTACAGCAGAGATCCAAACATATTCGTGTAACATTGTAAACATTGACCAATTATCCATTTCCACTTCTTTATATGCACTGCTAGCCACTATTACATGCTTCTATGAGTTCGACTATTACCAACACTTCCTACACATGGACTCTCAACATTTGCCCACCTGTGACTGATTTTATCACTTAGCACAATGGCCAATCCACATGGAGCAGGATTTCCTTACTTTAAAAGACTGAATAGTATTCCATTGTATCTATACTCCACATTTTTGTTATACATTTATCAGTCACTACATACTTAAATCATTTACACTTCTTGGCTCTTTTGAATAATGCTGCAATGCACATGAGAGTGAAGGTATCTTGGGATTTTTACTTTAATTCCTTTGGCTATCCAAGTTATGACCAGAAAGTATGGTCAGTGCTTAAATTTTATGTCTATGTATGTGCTATCATAGCTCCTTGATTTCCTGCATCAGTTTAACACATTTACCTTTCATGATTCTTTGGAGAAGAGCCAGAAGCCACACAGTGCAGATCCAGTGAATAAGGTGGATGAGAACACATCATGAGGTTTTTATGAGCCTGCTCTCTTGTTGGATGGCACTCACACTGGACTCAGCATGCACCATATTTTTTACATCATATCTCATGAAGTCATGAAAGAGGACTTCGAGGACTGGTTCAAAAAGTGGGATATGGAATGATGGGATAAGTGTGTTTGAAGGCAGGAGTGACAGTTGTGATGGGAATTAATGGCAGTGTATCTTTTATTATGATAAATTATTTTATATTTAAGTATGCACCATATATGTCAATCACACCTCAGATACCTAGAAGAGGAATTGCTAGATTATATGATAGTTCTATTTTTAATTTTTCAAGGAAATTATGCCACCTTTAAACAACTTTTCACCCTTGTAAAACCAACATCTGTTAATCTAAAGTCTTTTACAGCTTCCGCACTATTATATTGCAGTTGCACTTTTTTTTTATCAGTGATGCAAACAACTTCTTTGCTCATGGGATAATGGTTTTGAATATTGAAAGAATAATTTTTCAAGTTTAGCACTATCCACTATATGATTCCACACTCAAAACACTTCCTAGTTTAATGTGAATTTTTCACTTTCCTAAAACCAAACAGTCAACAAAGTCAAACCCCACTTTGTAGCATTAGCTTGTTGCCAGAGTGCACATACTGACTGATTTCAAGTTAAAAATGTAAAGTTAATGAATGTGAATGTGGGGAAAGATGTGCACCAGTGTCCTGTCATGTACGATCTCCACCACAAGACACATCATAAAACAATAACCTCAAGGGCAAAGCTAAGAAATATGGGTAGTAAAATAATTCAAAATGGATGATTTTTAATACATAAATTTTTAAATTTCAAGTAATTTTTAAGTAGTAAGCTTTAAATATTTTTAAATTGGTTTATATAATTTCCTTTTTAATAATGGCTCTTTAAAATAACTGACTTTCAAAATTTCTGAGACTTTGACCATTGGCTCTTGTGAACAGTTGCTGGTGTCCAGCAGCCCCTTCAGGGATGGACTAGAGCAAGACCAGGAGAAACACTGGCAGATCTTACTGAAATTCAGTAGGATGTCGGATATGCTAGATTCCTTGCACGTGGACATGACGTTCTGAGTAACTGAATATGAGTAGAAGCAATGACCATCATTTTTATGTTTGGCTAATAACTCTCCACAGGCTTCTGTCCCTCACCTAAGCTCAGAACCAGCTTTCCCCATATACCTTCTGCATGGATATGATCCTGTAATCCTAGGACAGAGAGATACAAGAAACAAGGAACCTAACTCTTTAACAACTGTGAAGGACAGGATCCCCTCCCACTTGGTGTTTCTACCCACATACATACCCAGTCAAGTGATGACCAGAACAGGCTTGATATGAGCAAGAGAAAGAGTTACCCTTTTTAAGTTACTGAGATTTCAGGATTCATTAGTTGTAGCAGTTACTGCTTTCTAGCCTCCACAAATATAAAGTCAATAGAGGGTTTTGTTTTGTTTTGCAATAGGTTTCCTAGCTGTGTTTTGTGTTTATCTTCATTGCTTAATCCATCTCCTTCCTTCAGGTTTAAGTTCCAGCTTGGAGACTGGATAACAGACCAAGGGACAGAGAAATGTATCCTTTTGGATAGTCCCACACAGATAGGAATAATATTGGAAAACAAAATCAATTGACTTGTTCTTTAAGAGCCTTTTCTATGAGAAACAGCCTCGAAGCCTGAGGATATAAAATTCATTAGAGCCATCAGAGAAGAGTTAAGTGAGAAATCATAGATATCCTGGAAGGAACACATGTCCTAATAGATCAAATTTTTACCCTTGAGTAATGACACTACAGAAAATAGCCAGTAACAGCAAGACATAGAAACAAATTTTTAGCAAATCAGGCCTCCCCAAGGAAACATCAGTCAATCTCCCAGAGGAAAGCCACCCAGCAGCACAGCCTGTGAGCAATGGTCCAAGCTCAGACATGTCCTCCCCCTCCCCCACCCCCCCAAAGGGTTGCAGCTCAGCCACCTGACATTTTTTTCTCTGCCTGGGGCATCTTTATTCCTTCTTTCTTTTTATTGGGAATACTTCCACATAACTTTATCAATATCCTGCACAATTTGGTATCTCTTCTTTCTTTCGCTTTTAGTGGGATCCTTCCAAATGCTTCTGAAATGGCGAACTTTCCACTCTATTGATATAGCTCATTGCCACTAGTCTGAGAGGATGGAAAGCACACGAGGAGATGCGGAGAAAAAGTAAAGCTTTATTTAACATTGGTGGACCAGTCTGCGTTCCTATGTGGAAGACTGGCCCTGTCCAACACTTGAACAAAGAAGATGTACACTCTGGGGGGGGTGCTACAAGTGAGGCATCTTTGGTATACATTCATTGGTTACAGAAATTGATGCATCAGCGAACCAGCTCAATCATGGTGTTGGTTCACACATGATATTGGCAACATGTTCATTGGATGATTTTAAACGAGGTTCTCATTTACATTCTGGTAAAATGACAAAACCCTTCTAGAGACAGACATTCCTGAGATGCAGAAGTTGGCTCGGGCATGTTCCGGCAGGTGAGGTGGGACGGACCCAGACATGTTGAACAAAGAACATTTCAAGTAGGGACTCTCCCATAGTAAGTCCATCTTGAACTACAGAAGCAAAATTTCCATGCAAAATTTCCTTTCACTTCCAGGCCTGAGCTCTTTTTCTGTGTTTTGTGATCCTCTGGTGGGTGGAAAGATATACAGACATCTCTCCAAGGTCTGTCCTTGTTAACAACCTTCAAATGCAGACAGACAGATGTGTCACTGTCATCGTCAACCATGGGGTCTGGGATTCCAATCTCAAAACTTTGTCTGTTTTCTCCCACCTCCTACATTTTTAAGAGATTAAGAGACAGGTCCTAGGAAAGCAATATGAAATTAAAAGTAGCTCAAAGAATATTTAATGATATATTCAGACCAAAATTAACTGAGATATGAAATATTTAAAATGCTTCATTTAAATTATAAGATCCTTTTCATACATGCATCAGAATGCTAAATAAATGTCTTACCTTATAAAAGACTGGCAAAAACTGTTACAGCAATCAGGTCCAAAAAGATATCCTTTCAAAACTAGCTATGAGGTTTTCTATTTTCAATATTTTTAATCATCATTGCAGGACATTTATCCTTTCTCCTCTGTGTTAATGTACAACAAAAATTGGAAAGCCTAACATTTGGTATCATCAAAGAATAATGTAGAGATTTTTAACATAGAAGACTCAGCTGTTGTTATTCTTAGACTCAAGCTTCTGTGGGTTTTAGGAAGAACTATGAAGACAATGTCGTCTTTATGCTACCCATTATCTATTCAGCACTGTCTGCTAAATGTCCTCTCTGTGCCAAGTGTCTCTTGATGCTTTGGGAAAGTATTCGCTGTTGATGACCTGGTTTAATTAGATCAGAGCATTTCTCTAAATGCAATGATTGATACAGGGACACCAAATAATCTTATCAGACAGGGCAAGCCATATGATTATTTTTTCCCATGGAACCTTTACTAGCAACTATATCCTTATTTCTTTTACTTTGGTCTCTTCCTCAATCTTCCCAAGATATCTTCCAAATAAATGATGTGTGTAAACATTTTTATTTTAGTCTCTACTTTCAAGAGTATAGAAGACAAGGCCAAGATGCATTATAACCCATCATCTTCCAAGCAGAGAAAATTAGTTTTTGAAACATAGTGCAAATAAATTTACCTCTGGCTAAAAACATCAGAATGGCTTTATTTTACTACAAATAAAAGTCAAAACTGCTTTTTGTGATAGTCTGTTCAGGCTTCCATAGACTGTGACTTGGCCAACCTCTGAAGCTTTCTTCCTCAAAACCCTCTCGTTTACACTAATCTAGTTACCTTCACCTTCCTTTTGCAACTGAAATGCATTAAGACTATTTTTTTTACTCAGAATATTTTTAGCTGATGCTGTTGGGTTTTGCTTTTGGACAATATTTTTAGGACATTTTCTTGACTGTTTCTTTGTGTAGATTTTACTCATAAAAAGTTACCTTTCAAGGGCTGGGGATTTAGCTCAGGGGTTCCAGTGCCTGTTCTGCAAGCACAATCCTGAGTTTGACACCTAGTACAAAAAAAAAGAGAAGAAAACACAATAAAATAAAATGGTTTATTAAAAAAATTACCTTTCAAAAAGATGACTCCACCACCTTGTCTAAAGCACTCATCTTGACTAATTATCTATCATAATCTTATACTTGATGTTTGTAAACATCTGCATATATTTTACTAAGAACCTTGTTGAGAATGAAGAGCAGAGCCATTAGAACATCTGAGAGGGGACAACCAGGGAGAGGCTGGAACCAGTAAGAGGATGTAGTGACATTGTCTGACCCTTGCTTGAACAGCAGCAGAAAAGCTGGATATGGTGACTCATACCTGTGCACCCATACTCTGAGAGTCTGAGGCAGGTGGATAACAAGTTCCAGCCTAGCCACGCAACTTAGCAACTTAGCGAAATCCTGACTCAAAATTAAAAATTTAAAAAGGAATTTTGGGATGTAGCTCATTGCAAATGTTCTGGGTTCAAACACAGGCCTTGCTCTTCTCAGTTAAAAGACATTAAATGTTTTTTAAGTGAGCTTGAATTAGGGTTTTTTTTTCCATCGAGTTTAATAATAGAAACTCCATCAGACTAAGGAATGTTAGTAGGGGAAATAGGCAAAGAAGAAAAAATAAGATGTGGCTTAGAGAATTGTTTTACGTATCATAAACACACCAAAGCAGAGCAAAGAATAATAAGTCTAATATGCCTCAAAATATTTAAAGCAAAAATTTTTTATTCAGTTCTTTGGCATAAATTACAAATGACAATGCGCACTGCCCTCCTCTGGAGTGTTGCGCGTGTCTGAACGGGTGAACCGGCATCCGGTGTGATGGCGGAGGGAGGACCCGGATGACTGCGGGCTTCTTTTGGCTTTTTCATGCAGGAGACACACCAAACATGGCAAGTGTCTGCTCTAGTCATAAAAGCTGTCAATTAAACAATGGGGAAATAAAACAACGCATTTAACAGGGGATATCAGAATAACAAAGACACATATTCAGGGTGGAGTGCGAAAGAGAAAGGCGTCAGTATTCTCGTTTTGAGGGAGAGGAAATAAATACCAAGCGATGGTGACGAGACCAAAGTGCCTGCAAGGTATATAGCTGGAAGCCCTAAGAATTACAGAGTGACTTTCGGAGTCACGCTCAGGCATGAGCCATCGCAATGTCTCTGGTACGACATCTGAAAGCTAGAACTAGAAGCAATGTAAAGAATACACACCTGGGCTGCAGGTATAGCTTGGTGGTGCTGCCAATTGCCTTGCAAGCACAAGGTCCTGAGTTCCATCCCCGGTATTAAAAAAACACACACGCTATACTCATTTCAATACCCATCTGACAATTATTACAATAGTAATTCAACCCTTTTGAGCAGTCTGTACCTATGGGGTACTGTTCTATGAATCCACCAACAACTCCACGGAGTAGGTATCATTAAGTTCCCATTTTATAAATGAAGTGAGTTAAACAGGAACAGTACTTATTCCTCTGACAGAAGAATGGCAAAGCCTCCAAAAAGGATAACTAAGATCAAATGCTAAAAAGTACAAAGCAGGTTGAAGAATTTAAGCTCTATGGAGTTTGGTCCTTACCCAAATTTGGGTGGGTCTGCCCGTTTTTTGGACCCCAATTATTGGAAATATTTTCTTGGGGTTTACTTATTTAATACATAAAAGTATGAACAAACTAGATGAAATAAGGAACTCCATAATTTTCAGAGCATTAGAATGTGGCGGTTTGTATCCAGCATAAGGGCAAAACTTTCAGTGTCAAAGAAGAGGCTCGTGAAACTGGGCGACTAAGAAGATCAAATGGCAAAGAATGCAATAAGGCCAGATTGTGCATGACAGAGAAAACAACAATGTGCCGGTTAAGAGATAAAAATAGGAGTTGAAAGAATTTAATCCATGCAAGATTTTTTCCCTATGAAATAAGTCGTTTTGAGGAGCTTCTTGAAAAATAAAAATGTATTTCCTTTCAGAAAAGGAAAAAATGGAAACAAAGTCTTTGTAAATAGGGAGGGGTGGAAGGGTTGAAAGGAGGGCAAGGGAATAGGGAAAAAATAAGAACCAAGATACATCATGTATAGGTACAAATTCCCAATGATGAATGTCATCATATTATATAACTAAAATATACAAATAAACTTAATAAAAATAAATAAAAACTTATTTATTGAAATGAGATTTTTAGGCAAAGTGTTGAAATACTTTCAACTTAACATGAATTTGCTTTAAGTTGTAGCACTTTCATTGTGAAGTACAGGTGATGTAACTAAAAGCCTTTGTCTTATCACAATCCAACGGAGATCTAAAAATGTAAGGAAATAAAGATTTGCAAACTCAAATACCCTGCTTGCTAGCCTCCTATATATTAAAGAAAAATCCTCCTTCTCCATACTTTACTTTGCCTCATATACACCTTTTGAAGTATCTGAATATTTGTCCACTGACAAGTTTCTACTTGGAAATCAAATTGTGACTATACTGAAGAAGCAGATCCTAGTGATGAAGAGAGGCCCCATGGGAGTGCACCAAGAGGTTCTGCCGGAACCAAAACCTAAGGAGACCCTCTCAGCCCACGCAATTTCTCTTGGTTTGGCCTATGTATGCTTCAGTGCCCAGCAAGAGGTAAAGAGCGATAAGATTTGACTTGAAAAATTCTGATTTCCTAGGGACACTTCCAAAATAGAACAGTACAGAATTGTCTTCTTGGCTGGTCAGTGGAGAGAAGGTAAGAGACTTCCTCAGTTATCCTCACTTTTGCTGTGAAATTTTAAGTAGTTGAGTTTCCAGATACCTCTCCAGAAAGATATGAGGGCCTAGTCCTAAGGCTGCAGGAACATAGGCAAGGGCTCTCCTTCACTCAGGCAGAGAAGGTGTAGAGATCCATCAAAATAAAAATTTTTTGCAATAACCTCAACTGTAAGGAGCAACAGCCACTGCAGCCTGGAGTAGAGACTCCCTGGCTCTTGGCTTGGTATCTCGGTAACATAAGACTGATCGTTTTTACTTGCCCCTTTTACCTGTCTTTTTATATTTTCAAATTATTGTGATGAACAGTAATAACCAACTATGAAATACCATATAACGAGTACAGTAAATCCATATGAAATCCTGTTATGTGATTCCAGCCTTCCTGCCTCTTTTTCTTGTTGGCTTGTGCCAACACACCTGGTGAAGTTCAGAAGGTGCAGCTGGAGTCCTACTTTGAGCCTTTTAAGAAAATGAATTGAAGGCTAAAATTCAAAGCAAAGTGACCCTTGCACAACCTGAAACCCAAAAGTTTCCCAAGGCTCTTCTCTGAATTAAATGTCCAGGTTTCAAAAATACATACATGGCATTTGAATGAGGTTCAGAGCAGCTGGTCAGAAAATGGAATTGAACAAAAGAAGGGCAAACTTAAACTCAGTAAAAAAGCAAGCAATCCAACAACAAAAGAAGGCAGACAATGGCCCTGTGACCAAGCTGAGCTTTTCAGGCCTTCCAGGGAGCAAGGACTGGAAGGATTGGCAATAGTGTGACTAATTAGGGAATCTAGGAAATCAGATGTCAAAGCAGCATTTGGTATCCCAGACATGACTTGAGCAGCTGTAGAGCTGTCAACTTTTCTAGAAACACCATAAAACTTTCAGGTGCATTTTAAAGCCACTGTCCCTCAGCAACCCGGTGGTGTTTCTCAGGATCACTCCTGTGACTTTTTCTTTGAATGTGCACTGAGATTAGGACAGTTCTACCCCACCTACAGTTCCCTTCAATTTACAAAACAGCAACCTTCTGTAGCCCTGGAATTTTTAAATTTTCATCACATTCTTAACACTATTCTTTCTCTCGTTGAGTTTATTGGTACTTTTTAGGTATACAGTATGGTTACGTTCATCATTGGGATCTTGTACCTCTACATGACAGGTCTTGGTTCTCATTTTTCCCCATACCCCTGCCCTTCCTTCACCCCCTCCACCCTGCCCTATTTACAAAAACTTTGTTTCCATTTTTCATTTTTCTCATATTTTTCTTTTCACTTATTTCCTTTCCCCTACCCTTCCCACTTCCCTTACACCTTTAGCCCTTTTCTTCCTATTTCACATTGCAACACTATTTTTTTTTCCATAGGGGTCTATTATACATCCAAGGTTGCACAAGTTACTGTCACTAAAAATATGGAAGTACATCACATTATCCATGTAATTTATGATCTTTTTTGGACATGAGATTTGCAAATCTCAAATGATGCTGTAACAGTACAAAATTGTTCTGAAAGCCACTTAGCTTTAATTACATTCTTCTTCTATCTGCTCCAAGAATAGAAAATCCTAGAGTGCAAGACCATGTCTTCTGTGTCCCCTGTGGCACTTCGCACTGTGCAGAGCACAGCAGGTACACAAGGAATAATGGACGGTTTATAGGATTAATCAGTTGGGAACCTGAAGCGCCTGCTTCTCTTCCTGGGTTAGGCTCCCTGGTAGCACCAGACATGGAGGTAGGTAGCAAATGCCATGCATCTGTCCTAAAGAAATCATTCCTATTTTGAAGGGAAGTTTATCTTATTTTTGCCCCTCTCTTTTGAAAGCTATAGGGTCGCTTTCCCCCACCGTTGGGTAGTGTATGCTAATGAAGGTCCAGCAGGGAGTTATTTGCCAAGGTTCCTGGCCATCCTGATCGGCATCTGTACTACACCACCAGTGCTCTCCTACTGGACTCACTGGGCATCGCACAGATACTAAAGCACATTGTAGAATCCATTTTTGTGTTAGATGACACCACACAAGCTTGTGCAAATGCACACATACCACACAAACAAAGCACAAGACAACTGTGAACAACAAAAAGTGACAGCCCAGTTGGTAATTTTTCCTCTAGCAGAATGGAAGCAAAGATCAAGGATAGGCGCAGTTCTCTTGCAATGATTCAAAGAAATGTAGCTAATCAAACTACACAGAACATGTAGGAAAGAATGTTTCCGCTTTCTGGACTTTATTGTTAAGGAAAATGCACAGTGGAGTCTGCTCATCTCGAGTTG